GGGAAGATGCATGTAGTTTCATGAGAAGGGAGGCTGTAGCCTTGCCACAAACAAGAAAGTAAGGAGCACTATTAAAGGCAAACCATTCTAGAAAATTTAAGAAACTGATTTAGAAAGATCCACCCTGCATCAACATGTGGGTAAGAAGCTGAATGATGTTAAATATATAAGGGTGATGGAAAAATTGTATACTAATTTTTGGTGGTAAGAATAGTCTGGTCAGAGAGATAGTATAGCATGTAAGATACTAGCCTTGCATGCGGCTAACCTGGGTTCCATCCCCAGTATCCCAAATGGTCCCACAAACACCACCAGGAGTGATATTCCTCAATGCAGAGCCAGGAGTAAACCTGGAGCATCACCAGATGTGACCCAAAAACCAAAATACAAAACTTTTAATTAAAAAATATTTAATTATTTAAATTCAATAAATAACTTTATTTATTTATTTTATGGGGCCTGAGCAATAGCATAACAGGTAGGGCATTTGCCTTGCACACGGCCGGCCCTGGTTTGATTCCTACAGAGTTCAGCAAGCTACCGAGAGTATCTCTCCCACACAGAAAAACCTGGCAAGCTACCCCTGAAGTATTCAATATGCCAAAAACAGTAACAACAAGTCTCACAATGGAGACGTTACTGGTGTCTGCTCGAGCAAATCAATGACAATGGAAGAACAGTGCTACAGTGCTATTCATTTTATCAATGAAATATTTGAGACCAGTTTAGTAATTTTATTACACAATAAATTGTTGGGAGGCAAAGTAGAGTGATGGAAGATTTGTCAGATTCCAAGCAGAAACAGCTGGATTAGGATTGTGTCCATGGGAAACAAGAGGGAAGGGGGATATGGGGAAATATTCAAGGAGAAACTATAGCACCTTGCGATGAGTAGTGAAACACAGTAGCTTAGTGCAAGACTATATATCTAAGGACAGAGAAAACAAGAGCCAGGAGGACTGGAGCACTGTCGGAAGCTTGTCACAAGTAGAGGAGGGCACTTAGGATAGAGAAGGAACCACTGTGACAATGGTAGTTGGAAATGATCACTCAGGACAAGAGTGGTGAAAGTAGAGAAGTGGATATACATGTTAACCTGTCAGCAGTACCTTCATTGCCCAGAAGGAGAGAGAGAGAGAGAGAGAGAGAGAGAGAGAGAGAGAGAGAGAGAGAGAGAGAGAGAGAGAGAGAGAGAAAGACAGGCAGACAGAGACAGAGAAAAGAGAGAGAGAAAGAGACAAAGACAGAAACAGAGACAGAAACAGAGACAGAGAGAGACAGAAAGAGAGAGAGGAAATGTGTCTGCTAGAGAGGCAGGCTGGGGCAGCGGTTGGGGATAGGGTGGAGGGAACAAAACTGGGGACACCTCGGTGGTGGGAAATGCACACTGGTAAAGGAATTGGTATTGGAACATCCCATGACTGAAACCTAATCATGAACAACTTTGTAACTGTGGATCTCATGGTGACTCAGTTAAAATTAATAATAATAATAATAATAATAATAATAATAAGACGACACTCTTTTATTTCTCATTCCTCAGAAGCACCACCAAAATAGAGTACAGTTGTGTGACCTACCTCTCAATAGGCCTTGTTCTAATTTTCACTTTCTTGGATCTGAGCGAGGGTTGGTCCATCCCCAAATAAGCTGGCAATGAACGAAAGTCTCTCAAGTTTTCTATTTCTCTACCACTTGAGTGATTCATTCCTGTCCTTATTTCACTATTTGCTTTACCTTTTATAATAAAAAGTAATCTTGATAGTGAAATCATATTATGCATGCTACTTTTTAAGACTTAATTTTATGTTTTCCTTTGACTAATCCAGCTCCAAGGATGACATCAATGAGAGTTTAAAGTTAACTTTGAAAAGTTGTGTTTTTACTGTAAGGAACATGTCTTATTTCAGTCTTACATTACATAGTGTCATAAATCTATGATTTGCATTAGGATTAATTCTTGGTGTCATACAACCTATGGATTTTTAATCATCAAGTGAAATGTACCATCATTGTAGTATGATGCAGAACAGATTTACTACTATAACTACTCCTGTTTGTTTTACCACCTTTATTCCTCCCTGGATGAATTTCCTCCATAGGAACTTGACAACAGAAGAAAATTTTTATAGGTCTTGAATGAACAGCTTTAGTGTGAATTTTAGTGCAGTATGTTCCTCTGTTCCCGCTTCCGTGCTGCCAGCACATTGCTGACACAGTTCCATTTTCTCACTGAGTTCTGCTGAGTCGCCATCTTTCTTTAATCATCTCTTTGATACTGCAACTATTTGGAGTGCCAGAATTACTTGATACTTGTAACAAGATCAGTTTCCCTCAGAGGCAAGTAAACAGGGCACTAGGTGACTCTCAAAAGAATGATCTGTGGTTACTGCAGCCAGTGACTTAACAGTTCTAAATTTCACTGATACAATATTAGGCTTCTGCCACTCTAGGTTGTATACATATAATTTATAATACTTCCAAAATGATTTGTGCTTTAATTAATGTAAAAGTATTCACTGTAGATTGAAATTGTGTTATAATGAGTTCTAACTTAGCATGTCAAATTAATATTGGGCAAAGGGTGCAGTTGATCACTTTAAGCTGTAAACAAACCACTAAGGGCAAAAGCATTTAATTTTACATAATAAATGCATTTCAACGATGCACAGAGGTGATGCTGAGAGATAATCATTTTATATCCTTTTTTAAAGCAGTGGTCTTTACTTTTTGTTTATTTACTTATTCATTTATTTGATTTTTGGTACACATCTGCAGAAGCTCAGGGATTACTCCTGATTCTGCACTCAGGAATCACTACTGGTAGTTCTCAGAGGATCATATGGGATGCTGGGGACCAAACCTGGAATGGCCTGAAGCAAGGCAAGTGCCTTACCAGCGATTGTCATTTTCTTGCTTGCTTTCCAAACACTGTTTTGTTTTGTTTTGTTTTGTTTTTTTGACATTAAAATATCTCTGCGAGAAGACCCAGAGCAATAGTACAGCTGGTAGAGTATTTGCCTGGCACAAGGCTGACCCAGGTTTAGTACCCAACATCCCACATGTTCCCCCAAGCCTGCCAGAAGTGCAGAGCCAGGACTAAGCCACAAGCACTCCCAGTTTGGCCACCAAACCCAACCCCCAAGCAAATAAAAGAGTATCTTCACTTTGGTAGCTAATGCTGTAACTTCCAACGTGCACTTTTGCCTCCTGCATATCATCCTCCACACATTCAGATTCTTCTCTAACCTCATTCCTTCTTAATAGGAAGGTGACTTTAAAGGGCACCAACCTTTCAGACTTGTATCACTTGAGGATGAAGCTTTTTAATCAAATCACCAACTTAGAATTTCATGTACCTACAGTATTCCAAAAGCTTCACGTCTCTTTACTTTTTTCTCTTGGTTAGCATTTTAGCTTTGACTTCAAAACATACATGCTCGGTGTTTCCACCTTCATTTCCAAAGAGGTAACACATAAATTTAAATTCACCCTGAATTGTCTCTTCCAGTCCATTATGTTAAGAATGGAATTATGTGTTCCTTGATTGTTTGAGCAAAGCAATGAAGATATCAAAGATTCATAAACAGTTGACTGTACTACATCTCAGTGAGGGGATTCCACTCCATCTGGCCTGCCTATTGGCACTTTAATGATGCATTTAGTAATAAAGGATAAAAACAAAGAGTCTCTTAAGGAAACACTATCTTTCCAACCAAATTCCCAGTAGAATATTTGGGATATTTTTTGTTTGTTTGTTTTTAGTTCTTGTACCACACCTGGAAAGAACTAAACTATTCTTAGGGGTTATTTCTAGCTCTTTGCTCAGGGATCAGACATGGCAAAACTTGGGGGAATATATATATATATATATATATATATATATAGAGAGAGAGAGAGAGAGAGAGAGAGAGAGAGAGAGAGAGCACTGTAGTACTGTCCTCTGGTTGTTGTTCATCGATTTGCTCGAGCGGGCACCAGTAATGTCTCACAACAAATTGTGAGACTTGTTGTTACTATTTTTGGCATATTGAATACGACACGGATAGTTTGCCAGGCTTTGCTGTGTGGGCAATATACTCTCAGTAGCTTATTGGGCTTTCTGAGATGGGTGGAGGAATTGAATCCAGGTCAGCCATGTCAGCTGCATGCAAGGCAAACACCTTACCCGTTATGCTATCACTCCAGACATAATATAATATAATATAATATAATATAATATAATATTATATATATAGGATGCCATTGATTGAACCCTGGTCGCCCATGTGCAAGTGCCTTGCCCTCTGTGCTATTGTTCCACCCCACAGCACACAGGTTTTTTGATAAAAATAAGACCAACTTTATTTGTTCAAATGCCATTTTAAATTTTGCTTTACTTTTTACTTTATTCCCTTTCCCTTCTTTCATCAGTGACTTTCCTCTCACAAGGGTGATTTAGAGAGAGAGAGAGTATTCTCTTTCTAGCTTTCCCTTTCTTCATTCAGCTTCTTGATCTCAATAAAATTTGTCAAATTTTCAGTCAATAAACTGTAAAATGCAAAGTCCATGGATAGGATTTATTTCCAAACTACTTTAGAACATTTACTACTTTCAGCCAAGTTTAGGGTGACAAATATCACTTAATCACTTAACTTCCCGTTAGTTGTCGATTTGCCTGAGCAGGCGCCAGTAACGGCTCCATTTGTCCCTGTCACGTGCTAGTGTAGCCCAATGGCATCTGTTCGCTCCGGGAACATGAAGGGCCTCAAACCGATCGTTCATGATCTTGACGAAGAAGTCTGACCATCTGGTAGGTGGGTGGCCACGCGGTCTTTTGACATCCCGTGGAATCCAGTCGGTTACAGCTCTAGTCCAGCGGTTGTCTTTAAATCTCATTACGTGACCAGCCCATCTGATTTTCGACACCTTGGCAAATGAGACAGCGTCCCTGATTCTTGATCGTCGACTCATGTCAGAACTCCGGATTCTTTCTCTCGTTTGAGAGAATGCCTTAAAAAAAAGACAGGCGCCAGGAAGAAGGCAGAGAACTGCCGGGAACGCAAAAAGCAGCTGCGAGCATCGAGAGGCACCATAGATTTAGCTAAACACCCTTGCAATGCTTCAATGGAATGTGACAAGTGTCAGAGGCGGCAGAAGAACAGAGCATTCTGCTATTTTTGTAATTCTGTCCAGAAGTTACCAATTTTCGCACAGTGTGGGAAGACAAAGTGCATTATGAAGTCTTCAGACTGTGTCATAAAGCACACAGGTGTCTACAGCACTGGCCTTGCCATGGTGGGCGCCATCTGTGACTTCTGCGAAGCCTGGGTGTGCCACGGACGCAAGTGCCTGAGCACCCACGCGTGCGCGTGCCCGCTTACGGACCCCGAGTGCGTGGAGTGCGAGCGCCACGTCTGGGACCACGGAGGCAGAATATTCAGTTGTTCTTTCTGCCATAACTTTCTCTGTGAAGATGATCAGTTTGAACATCAAGCCAGCTGCCAGGTTTTAGAGGCGGAAACATTTAAATGTGTGTCCTGCAACCGGCTGGGCCAGCACTCCTGTCTCCGGTGTAAGGCATGTTTCTGTGACGATCATACCAGGGTGACAAATATACATAATAAAAATCTTATAAAGTCCTCTATGCTGTTTTTTTTAGAAAATAATTGATATATTAATTTAGAGGTCCTGAAGAACCCCCCCCCCATTATATTACTGTACTTTTTGCAATTTACTTGACAACAATCATTGTGGCATTTAGAGCCTTTGATATAGAAGCTAGGGTCTTGTGCCTGCATTACTAAATATCAAGTTTAAATTGTTCTTAACTCCTTTGGTGGAGTATTTCGGGCCACACCTGTATGCTCAGAGTGTGCTACTGGGAGAAGCCAGGGACCAGGCATAGTGAGGGATGAAACCCAGGCCTCCCATTCTCACTCTCTGTCTGGCCTTGCAATATCTATATTTAATCCATTAACAGTTTGGTGGCATCAGTTCCTATTTGTGATGTTTCTCTATACATATATTTAAAAGTTTTCTGCATAAAGTAACTAAAGGTAAGTTGGAGAATTGTATGTAAAATCCTTTAAAAAATTTGTGAATCTGAATTCATCAATGTCCCTCAGTAAGAGAGTAATCCAGTTCATTTTGCTATTTGTCTTTTGATGTCAATTCTATAAAAAATGTAATGGATTTTCTCTTTTCTTGGTTTAACTTATATGTTTAGAATAAATAGAGGAATAAAAAACTTCAATATGGGAAGTGAAAAATCTGTCCTTAATTAAGAATGATAAACGGACAGAGATGCAGTTATAATTCTTTTCAAGAAAACATAGCTTTTCCAGAAACTATTTTGTCTTATATTTTGGACTGAGGACAGAAAGAATTGATTTTAAGATTTACATTGTACTATTATCATTAGTTTCATATTTTATTTATTAATTCCTTTTTTTCCTTCTACCCAGTTTCCCACTTCCATGTCACCATAAGAAATCTTTCTCATTTTTGATGCAAAGAACTAATGTTTTTTATGCTCTTCAAACCTAATACATACATACAATTTGAACATGTTTTTTTAAGACATGTGTACTTGTTCTATGTGTATTCATATTTAATTCATATAAACCATGACATCTTATCATCTCATTCCTACTTTGGACAAACTGGCAGGCTACCGAATGTAACCTGCCCACATGGCAGAGTCTGGCAAACTCCCCGTGGTATACCCAATATGCCAAATACCAGTAACAATGATGGGTCTCATTCTCCTAACCCTGAAAGAGCCTTGAATATGGCACTTCTTAAAAAAAAAAATCTCAGGGCTAGGACGAAGGAGACATTACTGAGGCCTGCTCGAGGCAATCGACGGACAACAGGATGGTCGTGATCGTGATCGTGATAAACCATGATGCCATAGCCTTTCTGTGTGTGATTGCATGTGTAGGTTTTATCTCTCTCTCTCTCTCTCTCTCTCTCTCTCTCTCTCTCTCTCTCTTATGTAGAAGTACTGCTTTTTATTCAGCCACTGATTAGGCTGATTGAATTGGGAATGTAGGATAACACTCTTTTGTCCTTCCTCAGGTAGCTTAGGTTTGTCAGGTCACAGCCATCTAAGGACACTGAACTTGTAACTGAACTTGTATTGTAAGCAATGTCCTTTCTGTGTGGACACAGGAAGACAGTTAATATTATGCTTTGTAACTTGGGAGTTGATTGACTCCGAAACATATTTACTCCTGGGCACCTGATTTCTTGACTCAGTTGCCCTTAGTTCCTAGCACCCCAAAAGCAGGGTCCCGACGAGGGACTGAATGGACCCAGGGCAAGCAGTGAGCTACCCTGGCATTGAAATGGGCCAGGCCAAAGAGCCACAATATTCAACTATAAGTTGAGGGCATGATCATGGACAAATGCTGTAATGATCCAAAAGTAAGTAACGACGAGAGGAGGACCCTGCTGGAGCTAGGAAGATTAACCTGGCCTGAGGACTGCAGAATGTATAGTGAGATGTTCTCAGGAAGAACCAAACTAAGTTTATATCTCTTATTGTGCTCATACAGAATGACATTGAAATATTAGAAGTAGATTTATTACAACTATTTAAGTAGATTACTAACTGAGGGAAGAACACACCCTTGTTGGGATCCCACCCTTGAGCGGATCTCCTAGTAATCTGGAGTAATCTCTGTAGATGAGATTTTATCCTTGAGTTAATCTCCTGGAGGAGTGGTCTTACCTCTATTTGTTGATTCGTCAATATTCAACCCACCTTTATGTCACCACCTTATGTGACTGCTATATAAACTAAGACTGTAAGCTCGGGTGGAGGAGAGTCAGAGCAAGAGGGGCTTAAATTTGAGAGAAAGAACAGCCATCCTGATCCAGGCACACACAGGGCTCAAGAGCACCGAACGCAGTCGGTAAGAAAGAGCCATCCAGTGAGCCTGTGAACACACAACCTTCGGTGTGATAAGATTTTACAAGCCACTGATTAGGCTGATTGAATTGGAAATGAACTCCACCTTACTGTTTATTTTTTTATTCTTTATAATTTTATTTATTGAATCACTGTGACAGCAGTTACAAAGCTTTCAGGTTTAAGTCTCGGCCATACAATGAAACACCCGTACTTTCACCAGTGCCCATTCTCCATCCCCAACAACCTCAGTATACCCCCATCCCACACACTCCCTCTACCTGTGGGGCAGATGATTTCCACATTACTCTCTCTCTACTTTGATGACATTCAATATTTTGACACCAGACCCACCATTATTATTTGGGATTTTACCCCAAATAATAATTTTACCCTAAAAGGCAACAGTAGACATTTGTTTTCTATTGCTGATTATGAATAACATATGATGCTGCATGGCTGCAGTAGTACCTGCACAATTTTGAAATTATGAAATTTTAACAATTATATCTGGAGGGATTTCTTTTGCTTTTTTAAAAATTTATTTATTTATTTATTTTATTTTATTTTTATTAGTGAAACACCATGAGGTACAGTTGTAGACTTAGAAATTTTTGTGCTTGGGTTTCAATTATACAATGATCAAATACCCATCTCTCCACCAGTGCCCATTTTCCACCACCACGGATCCCAGTATCCCTCCCACCCCCCATCTCCCGCCCCACCCTGCCTCTGTTGCAGGGCGTTCCCTTTTGTTCTCTCTCTCCTTTTGGGTGTTGTGGTTTGCAAAAGAGGCATTGAGTGGCAATCATGGAGGGATTTCTTGCAAAAACCTGCCGGGTTCTGAGATGTGTTCCTGAGTCTCTGGGATTATGGCTGTTAAGCAGCTTGATCAGAAACCAGAGAGGCTGTTCATGGGCAGTGACTCAGGGTCTCGTTGGGACAGGGAGGAAAGGGCTGGCTCCACCCCCATTCCATGAGGTCCCATGTGTCTCGACACTGTGGGCCCAAACCTGACTGTCCAGTGGCCTCTGGAGGATGACGGCCACTGGGCCACCAGGGGGAACAGGCCAAGGCACGAAACCTATTCCCACCTGGGGTGGCCTGGCATAGGTAACCTATTTCAGGGACTGAACGCATTTCTTCCAAAAGCCATTGGGTTCTGAGATTTGTTTCTGAGTCTCTGGGATCATGGCCGTTAAGCAGTTCGATCAGGAACCAGAGAGGCCATGCCTCCAATTATACAACTGAGCCGGAGGTGGCTTGTGTGTGTGTCTCTCTACATACCTAACTTTTGGCCCTTTACTCTCTTGGTAAACTTTGCCCCAAGGTTTTGGGGTCTGGCCAAAGACACAGCAGCAATTTTGGGGTGTCTGAAATTCTGAAGGTGTCATCAGGCTTCTGATACACTCGCCTCACAGGTACAGACTGACCTGTTGGTGGCACCATACCCCCTCTTTTTTTTTTTAAATCTCACACATTAAGATTCTCTCATGTTGTCTCACTAATAAAAATAAAATTAAAAATTAAAAAAATAAAAGAAGATGGCAAAAAAAAAAAGATTCCCTTGGGGCACGTGTAATCCACAGTGTCTCTCTGCTGCTTTTTCTTGCTTGTGAGAATTCACATTCTTGGCCTTGGTGTACCGATAGGTGGATATGGAGATGTTGAACACAGCACGCTGCATCTCTGGGAGAATGTCTCTGGAGTACTGTCCGCTGGCTGGGATTTCAGGGACAATGTTATAGACATATTCCCACTGGGTCTGTGCACTGTCAGATTGCAGTGCCCTGGGTTTTGTAGCATGGCACTTACTTATATTTAGAATTAAAAACATCCTTAAAATTTACAGTAAGCATTCTCTTGTGTCCTGAAATAAAAGGAGAACCTGAAGAAATTTGGGGTGAGAAGTCTATGACTTGAGATTATTTATAAGATTGATAGAGTTCTGAACAGTCACATGATTTATCAAATAGTCACAGAGGCTGAAGGGAGATTGTTTGCCTGGGGAATAATGAGAACAATTCCTCTTTAGATTAAATAAATTCTTAAATTTACTTTGTGGAAAAATACTAAAGATTTAACTTTATTTTCAATTTGATGTATTTGAAGTAGGGCTAGAGCTCTAGCACAGCGAGTAGGGTGCTTGCCTTGCAAGCAGCTGACCCAGCTGAGCTGGGTTTGATTCCTTCACCCCTCTTGGAGAGCCTGGCAAACTAACAAGTGTATCTCACCTGCATGGCAAAGCCTGGAAAGCTACCTGTGACATATTCGATATGCCAAACACAGTAACAACAAGTCTCACAATGGAGACGTTACTGAGACCGCTTGAGCAAACCGATGAACAATGGGTGGACAGTGACAGTGACAGTGACAGTATTTGAAGTACCCTCTTTCACAGAAAATAGGGATTTATGTTCCTCTAAAGTTAGTTACTGTGGATCGCTCAGGATGGGAGATTTTGCTGAAAGTAGATAAAGGACCAAACATGATGGCCTCTCAGTATCTGTATTGCAAACCATAATGCCCCAAAGCACAGAGAGAGTAAAAAGGAAATTGTCTGCCATAGAGTCAGGGACGGGGTTGGGAGATGGGGGGTGGCGGGAGGGATACTGGGGACATTGGTGGTAGAAAATGTACACTGGTGGAGGGATGAATGTTCGATCATTTTATAACTAAAACTCAATCATGAAAGCTTTGTAACTGAATCTCATGGTGATTCAATGAAAACAAAAATTAAAAAAAAATAAAAGCT